CTCATACATAGTATTTGAACACGTTACTGTACTTTCTATATATAATTTAAGCTGAGGAAACTCCTTTTACCATACGGCTTTCGTAGAAGAGTTATTATTGATACGAGTTACATAGAAGACGGTCAATTTATATATGTAGACAACGGAATAATGCCCAAGATATGTTTTTAATCCGCAAATAGTGTGCCTGTAAAGTTCTAATGAAATAAATTTATTAATGTTCAATGAATTGTAAATTTTATTGCTGCTCTCAAAATACACTTAATGTTATCTCAAGCTAATGCATTTTGTAAGAGAGAGTTTATGCTTATCAATGTGTCTATAAAACGCTACTTAAATGTGTTTGTAGGACTTAGTGATTGTTCAGTGAGTTCTTATTAACAAAATTAATCGGTAATTCAATGTATTTTAAATGGGTTCCTTAACGCTTTCGTTAGAAATTGTGAACGGGGTATATCTCAATACGCTTAATAAGCATATAAGCAAAGGGACATCGTTCGATCTCTAAAAAAAATGCGAAGTACACCAAAACAAAATGTGATTCTTTTCCAAGAACATTTCTTTTCTTTTGATCCCGGATTATTCCACCTGTACGTGAAGATCCATGTTTTTGACCCGAAAGTTGACTTTGTTTCACAAAGGCTCGTGTCTAATACCCAAAGAAACACGAACGAAACAAATGCCCTGCAGGTCTCAGAGGTATCGCTGTGTAATAAATTACGAGTATATGTGTCGGGAAGGTATGACCCAAAAGAAAACAAAAGCTCTAGTTGTCTTGCTTTTGAACTCTACCCTAGAAATTTGGTAGGTAAACACCTCTTTGTGGTGAAGGGACACGTCTCGTTCTATTAAGAAAGCACGTGCATGTGAGCTTAACGAATTTGCATGAGAAGTAACTTGACGGCAAGAGTTCAAGATTTCCCGGCATAGAATTAGGCTTGCAGCCGCGATACAAAATTCCAAATCTCAGTTATTTAAAGAATTTATTATGAGAAACTAAATGGATTTTTCTCGGGGTTTTATCACATCTCGAGCTGAATTTCATTTAGTGTTTTATTAGTGGACAGCTCATCTTTAAGTAATCACAACGATATCTGCTTGTAAATGAAACATTATTTTCAACTGTTAATGATTAGTGAATCAGAGAATTTAAATTACTGGGTTTACTACCTGATACATAAGATAAGTTTAATAAATTTAACTCAGTTTTATTGTAGATGAGCCCAGGTAGAGGAGGGACTGGCTGAAATATCCCACATTAGATTTACTCCAGATTTTCTCTCTTAATAGAAGCGTGTGGTCACGTCAAGATTTACCTAAGACAAATTAATGAATTTGACGTCACTTTTTTGCTTTATTCACGAGCCCATGCCCACGCTTTTTTTTATGAGCCCAGGCTTTAATGTCGACCTTCGTGATATCTTTGTTTGCGGTTCACTCACCAGGTCTGTAGGTTAAATTCCTGTGCCTTTGATTGTTTCCGGCAAAGTAATTTTTTTAAAGGTCTCAGTTATTTGACCGAGTTAGTACCGAGTCGAAAGATGCTTAACTTAACCGTGTTGAGTTTCATATCTTCAACTTAGTTCAACTCACGGCCTTTCCATTATTTATCTTCAAGTATTATCTATTTCGCATCCAAATGATATTTTTATCCAAATATATCATTTTAAATTATATTAAGGTCAGAATTAAGGTAATTTATTTCTCATTTGCTTTAAAAATTGCAGCAATGCACCGACTTTTCGTTTATTACCAACTTGTTAAGTATACCATTTATGCGGCACTCGCTGGTTCGCTTAAATAGTAAATAATAAATATTTTACATTTAATATTCTCTTAATGTTGAATATTTATGAAGTATCGAATACTTTTGGAATATTGAATATTTCTGAAACATTTAATTTTTTTGCAAAATTGAAATTTTTTTTCAAATTTTTTTGAAATATTTTTAGCCTTATTGCGGCTAGAATTGCTCATTTTGTCAGTTTTCGATATTTATTCACCAAATCGCGTCGAGAGAATCTTCATCGGTTTCTAATTGGACGCCGTCAGGAATTAATAATTCACCATGGGAGTAACTTTAAATTTTTACAAATTGGAACATAGTATATCATCCGTAAATAATATTTCTTGAGTCAACATTGCTTTAGTACAAGGGTATTCAGAATGATTTTCGATTGAAATGAAACTAATAACCTTTCATTTAATAACCTAAATAATAATAATAATAATAATAATAATAATAATAATAATAATAATAATAATAATAATAATAATAATAAAACTAATAAATAACATTTCTATCGCCTGTTTCTCCAATTTACTTATTTTTTTTTCTTTTCCTAGGACGTTACACGTGTGCGTGCGCGCAACCGTTGGTGGGGTTTTTCTTCACTTATGGAGTATCCACCGTATTATTATGAATATGAATATGAATATGAATATGAATATGAATATGAATATGAATATGAATATGAATATGAATATGAATATGAATATGAATATGAATATGAACATGAACTATTATTGAAGGGCGGAAAAATGTTAGAATATTTGAATCAGTTCAAAGAATCCGCGTTTTATTTTCTTCACTAAATTGGGAATCCAAGTACAGCTTTTAAAAATGGGTTCACAAAAAGTAAGGTGTTGATGCATATCACTGTTTATAGTTAATCTTAGCCAATTTTCTGCTGAATGGGAACGTTCGAGATTAAAAAGATTCATTTTGTACCAATTGCTGATTCATTCATGGCATCCTTGCATGATAGGCTCAACAGTAAATAAGGCTTACATTTCTCAATACGAATTTTACCGTGCAAATCACCGGCTGAGAAATCAAAATTTTACCAGACGCATCTAGTATCATTTCAGATAAAAGATCAGATGCATATAATTCACAAATTTTTGGCCCAATCATAATTTTTGTAGGATTTTTTTTTTGCGAACAAAACCTAATTATAGATATTTAATGTGAATGCATTCCTCAATAGTTTTCATACATAATTCTAGTTTTCATTAATTATGAAAGGAATTAAGAGTGTAGGCAGACCAACAGGAGTAAACAGCATGAACGGCTTGAACAGCGGTTCGAGAGTCTCGTGTGTGGCTTGAACAGCGGGTCGAGTCTCGTGTGTGGCTTGAACAGCGGTTCGAGTCTCGTATGTGTCTTGAACAGCGGTTCGAGAGTCTCGAGTGTGGCTTGAACAGCGGTTCGAGAGTCTCGTGTGTGGCTTAGGCAGCGGTTCGAGAGTCTCGTGTGTGGCTTGAACAGCGGTTCGAGAGTCTCCTGTGTGGCTTAGGCAGCGGTTCGAAAGTGTTCGGTTCGTGCGGTTCGAGAGTCTCGTAAGTGTTCGGTTCGTGCGGTTCGAGAGTCTCGTAAATGTTCGGTTCGTGCGGTTCGAGAGGATCGAGGAGAGCAGATAAGCTCTGCTCTTTTGCTCGCGCTTGTCGATAAGCAATCTCTAGCTTCTGATTACTAAAACAATAGACACTTAATTGGCACGCGGTGATGTCTACGCTAATTGCCAAGTAAGAATAGTAGATAGGAAATATATTTTTGGGTGAGTGCTGCATGACTTTGCATATACAATAAGACAGTAATTATAATTAGGTAAGTTTGGTCTTATTTAATGAGTCTATAGTGAAGTGATTGTTACAGTGTGATTGGGTTTCGGTCCATTACAACCATTCAAATTTTTCCTTCTGAGAAATTTATTTAATATTCTTGCACGGACATAGAACGAAAGAATTTTTCATATTTTTTTTTATCTTCAGGGGTACAAATTTGTTGGATTTCATACCAAGGAAGAAACTACTGTACAAAAAGCATGTACGATGAAGTAAGCAATAAAGTTGCATTCAGACGTGTTCTTGCTAATATATATAGTATTGGACGTCACAGCAATAGAGTTTTTTCGATTCCAGAATGCGGCTCCGAAAAGTTAGTGCGTGTAAAGGATCAGTCACTCCCGCTTTTCCACACACAATTCATAGTGAATAAACACTACCTTATTTCGCTGCTCAATAGTCTGCCCCTTCCGAGAACCGATGAACCGTGAACCACTGAACCGTGTATCGCAGAACCGTTAAGCGCTGAACCGTGTATCGCAGAACCGTGAACCACTGAACTATGAACCGTGAACAGCTGAACCATAAGCCGCGGAAGCGTGACCCGGTGAACCGCTGAACCGTGAACGGTGAACTACTGAAACGTGAACCGCTGAACTATGTACCGTGAACCGCTGAACCATAAGCCGCAGAAGCGTGACCCGGTGAACCGCTGAACCGTGAACGGTAAACTACTGAAACTTGAACCGCTGAACCGCTGAATCACTGAACCGTGAACCGTTGAACCGCTGAGCCATGAACCGACAAGCCCTTTGCCCGACGCCCGCGACGAGCAGGCAGGTGGCGAGTTAAAGGCTATAGCCTCGCTCGCCTCAGGCTGCCTTCTCGTCTGGGTTAGCGCGTTGGAAAACTCACAATATTAACGATTTTTCAAATTAAATCTCATTAATTCCACATAACGTTTCTTGAACGTTATCTGATTCTAGTACAATGTTTCAATAGCTGACGTATGATGTGGAAACCCTAATTTCAGAATATATCTTAAAAAACGTCAAAAATTGCGTTTATCTATACAATTCGATTGGATGTAAAATAATGTTGAGTGTAACCATGGTGCTTGACGGCAGATGATGTAAGGGAGCTGGAAAATGTGCGCGCTTCATGCTAGGTTCTAAAAATATCCTGACATTACTTAGATGGCTGATGCACGACGCTGAAATTATGTACTAGAAATATTCTGACATTAGTTAGTTCGATGTACGACAATGAAATTAAGTTCTAGAAACATCATTAAATTGGTTAGCTGACTGACGTACGACGCTGAATTTGTATTGAGATTCACGCCGGGTCTGGCGTGGCGTGCGCCATATACGCAGCACGTGTGTTGGCTGACTGACGGCCTATATAAGCTGGGGCTCGCGGTCAGACGGCAGTAGCGCTCTGGAGCTCGCCGAGTAAAGGTGTCGATCAGTTGTTAGCGAAGTCGTCTTGACAGAGCTGGAGATTGCGATAGTTTGTGAAGATTTTATTTAAAGAATACCAAGATAAATTGTGAACAGAGTTATTGTCAAACGATCGAGATTTTGTCTGGAGTCTCTCGATTCTTGTGCGGGGATTTGACGAAGAAACTTTTGTGTGAAGTCTGATGGTGTGATGCTGAAGAGTGACCCATGATTGAACATTCCCTATTTGTTTTTGAACTAAATTTGTGATTTGAGAAAACTGTATCTAGCTATCAAAAAAATGGCGCCTTGCGTTGCTTTCGGTTCTCAACGAGTGACCGAAGATTCTGCCACTCCTTACAGTGATGCAACTCAGGTGAGGTATTAAAGTAACATACAGTAAAGTCCTTTGCTAATGTTTTTTTAAGTAATAATAGTGTCATGGAATATTTAAGACGTTATTTGTAAAATCGTCACAACGTTGTTCTTTTCCGTTCGCTGCAGGTAGATTTTTCACTACTGACGGGAAGCAATTTAATTTTTTTTATTTCACGGTCACGCGCACCCATAAATAAAGGTTTACTATTTTAATAATGAAATAATATTATCTTATATAATCGGTATCAACTCTCTTCACATTGAAGATTCCTTTACGATTCAAATTATGAACTCTCTTGAATAACGATTACATTTGCGATTCTGTTCTGCCGAATTACAAATTCGGAAATTATTTTTTATTCAACTTTAGTGAGAAAAGTAAGGATTAAATTCAACAGAAATAAGCTTTACTTTGCCTCGGAAATCTGTTTATAACTACCTCGACTTAGGTACCTACTTAGCTTCGACTTATTTTAAATGATTTCGCCTCTAGATTTAATATAATTTCTCAGTAATATATAAAAGGAAAACGTTTTTTTTTTGTTGAAACAGAAGTTTATTTGAAATTAGGACACCACGTGTTGCCAGTTAAGGCATTGAAACGCTTATTTCGAGGCGGCCACTAGAATTGCGAGCTCTGAAATTTACAAAAAACGGCGCAGCGCATCCCTAGAGTGTTGAATATCCGTTACTGTTCTAAGTTGTTTTCAACAACGTACCTAATTCAATTTTTCATTGTTAATGTAAATCATACTACGCGCTATTTGGTCCGTCCGACCAAATAGGTCCGAAGACATAATCTCCTTAATTATATAATTTTTATAAATTATATAATTAATATAACATAATCTTAATTCGGACCAAGTTGTTATTGCTCCAAGTTGTTTCCACCGACGTACCTAATTAAAATTTTCATTGTTCATGTAAATCATACTACGCGCTATTCACTCTGGGTTGTAAGTTAGCTCTTAGTTGTGGGCTAGCGTGAAGTTGTTTTTGCATCATGAAACTCGAGCGGTAGTTTAATGTGAAATTTACCGTCGTTCCTCCAAAAACTTTATTTTTTCCATTATGATTCATTAGAGACATGGCCCATTTCCATTGTACGTCCAACATGCTCGACCCTATCCATTGTACGTGCAACATGCTTGACCCTATCTACTGTATAGCCAACATGTTCGGCCCTTATCCGCTGGATGTATATCCAACATGTTCGACCCTTTATCCACTGTACATTTAAAATGTTGAGCCCCTTATCCACTGTAGTACATCCAACATGTTTGGCCCCTTTTTCTCTCTACATCCAACATAACATGTTCGCACATTCTACGCTGAACATCCAACATATTTAGCCCAAATCCACGTTAAATCCAACATTTTCGGATCCTATCCACTTCGATCTACGGTTCGTTACATATTTATGCATTAAAGAAGCGCAGAGATTTTCAGGCTTTAATGCCGTGGGTGTCTTAAGATTAGCTGGGTTTAAAGAATTTCTGGGGTATTGATTTAAATGCATTTGTATATTTTCCACGTGTAAGTTATCGCGTGACAGAAATTTCAATTTATGCTATTTTCCATGGAATAATTTAGTTACAAGGTGGATTCAAGTATTTTGTCATAGAGAATAGATTTTAATAGACGACACTGAATTTTGATACTGATTGATAATAAGAAAGACCTAATTTCTGGTATTCGTTGTTGTTACGTTACAATCTTCACCAAATAGCGAACCTTTAAATAACCTACTATACTCGTACTGTACCTATTAGTATCGAATGACATGAATTAATTATGATTCATGCCTCTGTTGACGAATAAACGGTAAATGATAGCCTTAAAAACTTCACAATCCACGGCCATGGCCGGGATTTTATAGTTTATGTAGCCTTTTATGCCTCGAAGAATTTTACTCTTCATTTCAGTGTGTGGATGTGAATACGTGTACGTAAAAAATTTGGATATCGTCTATAGTTTGATTATCGTATTATATATGAATAGAACTGTACGTGCAATTATACGACATATTTAACGTATCCTTTGTAATAATTTTTATTAGATTAGGTTTGTAAACTTTACACGGCGAGCATGACTGCGAGTAAGATGGGAAACCAAATTAAGGTCTCAAGTCTAGACATGAAATACAGTTCTGCCAATAGTTAGCTTACCCAATTATTCACAATTAGATTTTAACAGCATGCCTCATTCATCTGCAACTCATTCCCTCACTCGCAACCAATTTCCCTCCACTATTCCTTTCATTTCTGCTACTCACAACTCATTTTTCTCGCTTGCCACTCATTCATGTCACTATCGACCGACCAGCTACAATTAACTGCCACTAGTCACACGCACTAGAGGTCACTACTCACTCGTGCAGCCCTTCCTAGTCATCCATGACTTACCTTTTCACTTGGAGCACATCCACGGCACCCATGATCCATCCTTTCACAAGGAGCACATTCAGAGCAACAATGACCAATCACTTTCACTTTCAACTCATCCTTGCCACTCACGGCCCTCTAATTTCACTTTCAACTCATCCTTGCCACTCACGACCCTCCACTTTCACTTTCAACTCATCCCTGCCACTCACAACCCTCCACTTTCACTTTCAATTCATCCTTGCCACTCACGACCCTCCACTTTCACTTTCAACACATCTTTGCCACTCATGACCCTCCACTTTCACTTGCAACTCATCCTTGCCACTCACAACCCTCCACTTTCACTTTCAATTCATCCTTGCCACTCACGACCCTCCACTTTCACTTTCAACTCATCCTTGCCACTCACGACTCTCCACTTTCACTTTCAATTCATCCTTGCCACTCATTACCCTCTAATTTTTTATTGCCACTCACGACAAAATTTTTTATTGCACTAGCGTTTCATGGATAGCATATAATAAATTGTAGCAGCTTCCATCGCATCTTTTGATTTTAGTTTACTGTTGCAGCATATGCAGAACAATATTTATGACGAATTCAAGAATATTAGTTACATATAATAATTTAGATGTGTGTTCTACACTTGAGCTAAGAAATTATTTTCTCCCCTCATGATAGCTTTTGTGGTCACCCAAAAATTTTTCAAAAATATTAATTTTTTTTCATAGTGAAATATTGTAAGTAGTTTCGCATTCTCATGCTCTGATATCCGTAAGAGAAACTAACGAAATTTTTTTTCCCGCAGACGAAGAAGCACAAGCCGAACCACGTGAAAAGACCCATGAATGCCTTCATGGTTTGGAGTCAGATGAGAAGAAAGTCTTCTCTCGGTTCTTCTCATCACGCTGAGATCTCTAAGAAGCTTGGCCAAGAGTGGCGAACTCTAACGGATGAACAGAAGCAACCTTTCTATGATGAAGCTAAAAATCTACGCAAACTGCACAGCATTGAGTATCCTTCGTATAAATATCAACCCAAGAAGAAGTCAGATCCTCTTAGACTACTCACTGCTACTGGGCGGGTATCGAAGAAAATGAAGCAAGGTCGCCGTATAATCTCCAATCAGCCCGAATTGCAGGGTCAAAACACTGGTGAGTTGAAGATCACTTCACTGGCTAACTTGGCTAGCATTGCTCAGCATTCCGCTCCTGGATACATACCAGAATCACCGGAGAGTCTGTGCAGTAGTGGGGGATTGAAATCAAGTCCGGCATGGTCGGAAATATCTTCTTCTGGTCCAACCAGCTGTGCGGGCAGCAACTCTTTCGCGGACTTCCATACTCAAGACTACGAGTCTTTGCTTGAAAAACTCACAAGCACCGTGGCCGACACAAGGGCCTCAGCGATGCCTGACGGAATGTTCAGGGTTGTGGATCAGAAGCACTCCGATGCACTAAGTTTCCACACTCCTCCTTCTTCGCCTGGTACTTCTATCAACACAGTTTCCTCTCCATTAGTTTCAGTGTCTCAAGCACCAACTCAGGAGTTGTTTGCGCCATCAACGTACCTCAGCAGTTTGCCTAATCACTCACTTGATCATTCCTTTACTTATAATGGCCGGGTGAGAATAGACCCTGCCTTCTTCAGCCAACCGGAAATCGGGCAGAACTTATCTAATTCATCTAACAATGATCTCCAATCGTCAGGACCAGCGATGATTTCTTGTCAAGTAACGCCTAATTCGCGACTGATTAGGCAAGATCTTCCACCGCCTGAAATTTTGAATGAAGGTATTACAGGGAGAGGACAAACACAAGAGCAATTAACGCTGTCTCCCGAAGAGCTTTTCTTCAGTGCGATTACTCATGGTCAGATTAATTCTCTACCCGAAAGCCACATCTTTCCAAGCCCTAAGATTGAGGCGGCTTGTTCGTTCAACTCCCAGCTTTCAAATTTTCAGTCAAACAATTTTAGTGTTGATACCAATGTATTTGGTTCCAGTCAGTCAGTAGCTACTAACATGTCACCGGTGAAGGTGGAACCAACGATATCAAACTCAAGTGACTTAATCACTTTGCCAGAAAGTAACTTTTCGCTGGACGACGCCTTAGATGACGTCTTGACATATCTCGATATTCCTTGTGCTCAGTTGAACTCAGAGTGTGAATCTGACTTACCTCCTTGTTCCTTTTTCTCTGATAATGATGTGCAAGAATTACTTGAAGGTGTATCGGCATTTCAAACAACACAGATGAACTATTACGATCATGCATTTAAAAATAATTTTGTAGATACACAGTGTAGAGATCCCTTGCTAGCATCCACCGCTTATCATACTCAACATCTTTGATAGGTAATCGTATGCTTAGTTAAAGCGGTCAAAGTACTGGGACGGTTTTGGTGATAATGCTTGCAGGTGTCCTTAATTATTTTGCAATCAGTTGAACATTGATGTACACTATATGTAAATAATTTTTTAAAATAGATTCTGACAGCTAGATTACTTTTGAAAAGTTGTACTTACTGTATCTGACGTGAGAATTTGAATAAGTGCCTTGTCGAATTACTGTTGCTGCCTGACAAACAAGTTACCTGTTTACCGTTGAAACACTGGTTCTTATAGATCACTCGTTCCAATTTTCTGTAGTTCTAAAACAACACTTTTATACTCTCACTGGGCTTTACAACCTCATCTATATTATTCCAGTTGTTGATGATCGTGCACATTTCCCTGTTACATATCATGCTTGTATAAATTGAAGCTTAAAGTAAAAGTTCTGCAGTTTTTCGTGTGTGATAACCTATGACGCGAATGCTTGTGTAGTCAAATGCTGTTTTCGGGCCGCATAACGTTCCAGACAAAGAGTGCAGTGAAAGATGCGCATTGAGGACTGAATATATTGAAAATGAAAAGTTTGCGTGTCTCAGGAAAGAAAGTGTTCGCAGTGTTTTTGGTCGGAAATTGATCTCATTGCTCATAATTTTCCGTTATATTACATCGAGAGGAATGTTATCTTCGGCTCTCGCCTTATTTTACCGACTTCAGTATTTATGTTTAGCTGCGTCGTTGAACTCAGAGAAATTCACATACGTGTAAATGTTTTGTTCAATGAAGTTTTTAGACGCACATATATTCAGTTCTCAGATAAAGACTCGTTAAGTGCCATTGATGAATAAGTTGCTCATATCATAGCGAAGCAAGACATTTCTAGCTCCGTATATAATTTTTATTAGTTTCCTGCAGAAATGACTTGTGCTGAACTTTTTACGTTCAGCGATCGTATTTTTGATCAATGAAATTATTATGAAAAAAATGGAGCAATTTCAGGACCACTCAATATTAAAAATATTAGTCAGCTGCAAACTTTGAGCAACCTTCTGACGAAGGACTTAAATAAGTAAAGGACTTCAACATTAAGTATCGAATATGAAATGCTCTCGATTTCGTTAAGTATCGAATCTGGATCAATCCTACATCAATGACTGAAATCGTTCTAATTTTTCCTCGTTCACAATTAAATTTTTTTTTGCGTTCAATCTCAATTCTCAAAATCATTAATAATGCTCACACTTGCGGTAATGTTTTTTTCATTGTCTCTGACAATGTCGTGTTCATCGTTCAGTTCTAACTTGATTTCTTGACTGGTCTATGATAATTAATTACATAATTTAACTAAATTTATAGCCAAGGTCTCTAGATATTCGTTCAGATTTTATCTACTAATTGCTGTCCAATTAAAGCCAGCTGCATTGCGGTGTACTCATCGCTGCCTTGAAGATCTTTTACAAGTCTTATAACCAATTCCGCTAGGTTTCAGTGAACATATACTATATTTGTTTAAAACTCGTATGAATTCGAATAATTTTCTTACCGTATGTTATATTCATGTGTATTTTGTTGACTACCTCTGCAAATTAAATCTTTTGAGGAAATAAATTTTTTATGACGTAAATCTCATCCAGTACGTAGGACTATGGCGCAAAATGTCTTCAAATTTGTTGCTGATAATTTGTTGCTCCGATTTAAAATTGTCCTCTTTTATAATGAAATATTCGCGTCGTCTTAATTGTGGGATGCCTTGAGGCCTGCAGTCATGAAAATTATTTTGCAGTCATGAAAAAACAGTTTGTGGCAACTGTTAGATAACCAGAATACGATAACTGATACCGGTATTACTTTACGCAGCATGGACGTCGTAGTGCTATAATGAACGATGTGCTAAAGAGCAATTTACATTTTCTAACAAATAATTGAACAAAATAAAGTTACTCATTTTAAGCCACCTGTAAAATCTAGTCATCCACCTCATACAGATCGAGGATGTAAATCGTTTCCCTATATAGCTGCTTCTCTGAACTGGTCTCTTTACGATGGTTTTTCCCAATGCGAAGAACGATATAAAAAAATTAAAGTTGCATTTAATACAATTTGATGCGGAGTTAATAAAAACTCTGGTGGCTGGTGATCTCATAACACAATTTCAATCGAGCTTGATTCATTATTTTTTTATTGTTTATTTTGGACGACGTGTGAGTGACAAATCGAATTCGACTGAATTACTCTGTGTAAATCTATAGTTAAACTACTAGTTATTTGTCTTCCATGAAACGTTAGATCTTCAAACGAAAGTTCGCTAATTGAATTTAATTTTACGATGGTCTCAATTATATTGTGGTGACTTAGGTTTTGTCTAAATTTTTGTTCTAACAATTTGATGTCAAGTTTGAACTTGTTTATGTTTCAAAACTTCGCGGGAGGGCCGTACTCGTTCGACTTACTCGTTCACTCGTAAGTTTACGATCTCCATCTCCATATGTTGAGTTCATTAATCAGTAAACGTTTATTCTGACATGATTTTATAATCATCATAATTTCTCTTGCATTGAAAGTCAATAAAAATTTTGCCGAATTTTTTACCACAGTAGTCAATTTTTAGCCTTTAACCATCGTAGTGGTGTACTTGGTAATGATTAATGAGTGAAATTCAACGATCATTTTTGTAGAAGTTAAGGTATTGAAGTGTATTTTTTGTGCATGCTAATAAATGGCCATTGTAAACCTTCAAGCTTGCTGGTCACTTTGATCAAATATTCAATTCAAGACATAGCCACACACATTTCAATATTTTTAATTGAAGCATAGAGCTGAACTCCAAACTAGGAACGCATTGTATAACTACTGGCATTTTTGATACTCAGTTGTTTTGACAGGAGAACCGGTCTTTATGTTTTTTACATCCGAAATTCACACAGCTTTACTATAATTATTTCTCTTCTTATATCTCAAGTGCATGTTTAAATCTGGTTTGCCGATTGTTATTATTTTGATTTTCAAATCTTAATAAAAATTAATGTCATTAATACATAAGGGTGATATTAATGTTAAGCTTGTATTCCAGTTTTTATATGCAGATTCAAGTTCTCTTCAGTGTATCATTTGATTTCAATTTATTCATACTTTATTTTCGGAATCAACTCATTTCTATCAAATCTTATTTCCTTGCGTCTCCTTCATCCTTCTATTTTCTCAGCTACCATGAACGTTGTAGCTACATGTCGGCCATAAAATTTATACATAAATATTCTTAAGATGTATTTTTGAGACTTCCGATTCAAGATGCCATTATAAGCCGTTAATACGAACTGAATTATGCTTTACATGTACGTGTATTTTTGTTCTAAAAGACACTTTTCCTCTTGCGTTCCATATTGCTCCGGTTTTCTAGTGCTTAAGCTAATTTAATAGACATTTTATGTTCAATATTTTTATTTTAATCTACTATTATTTTATTGTTTGTTGTTGTTTGGTTAAATGAATAAAATCGTTTACATTCCTGACTATTTTCCTTCCTTCCCCTAAATTAATTATAATTATCTAACTAATTATCTAGGTTATTACATTGGTCGTTAAAATGAATGATGAAATTTGTAAATTTTGTCGCTAGAGAGAATGAAAGCAGAGACCGTTGAGTACTGCGATAAGCCCGTGATAATTGCTACACTTAATGTTACAAATGAATCGCGTCTTAAATCAGTATCAGGGCCGATACTTTAAAAAAGTTAAGAGATCGCAAGTTCATCAGCCAATCATTGACGGCCTTTCGAGCAAAATCCACCAATCATAGACAAGAAAATAGAGCGTAAGTACTTACGTTCACTTAATCATAGACAAGAAAATAGAGCGTAAGTACTTACGTTCACTTAATCATAGACAAGAAAATAGAGCGTAAGTACTTACGTTCACTTAGCGAGTATTGAAAGTATGGCCCCAGGCCCATTATCCAGCCCTCTAAGATCTCGTTATGCTAAAAAAACATTATTCTCAGTGATTTTTAACGCTGAATTGTTTACAAGACTTCACATCGACATCAAGGCATTGTTGATCTATAGTTGCATCACAATTGTCACTACATCATCATCACCTCGATATCACCATCAATCATCCCGGTACTGCGTCGCAATCACCATCATGTTACAGTTATAGTGAAATGAATGAACCAACACCGCTTAATCACTAACGAATTATAGCTGCAAGAAAATCACACTATCACCGTCAATCACCACATCACCACCACACAGTCACCACACCACCTTCACCACATCACCACCCCACCATCACTACTCCACCATCACCACACCACCATCACCATACAGTCACCACATCGCCATCACCACACCACCACACCACCCCCACCAACCACCACCACCACCACCACCACCACACCACCACCACCACACCACCACCACCACCACCGCCACCAGCAGCCGTAGGCATCACACCTGTTCCAGTATATAAAGCAAAGTGTCCACTGGAATTTCCGCTCCTGAATTAATAATGCGACAGTCCTGCAATAGACGACGCTCGTTCTCTGCACAGCTCAACGTTATTGTCATGGTCTTATCACGCGCTCTTTATTTATTCATAATATTTTCAAGGTCTTATTAATTTCCACCTTATTAATTGCGTGACTAATCTTAATTGACCAGCGATGATAGAAAAAAAAAAGAATTTAGATGAGCATAATTCCATGCACGTGTATTTTATAGAGGGTTAATGCAGACGAGTTCCAACATTCCAAACCACACTTCACCGCAGAGGGCATTAGCGTAGGTATTGACGAGGAAGGATTAATGAAAGAACACGATCAATATTCGTCAATGAGCATAATAGAGCAAGCCAGAGCTTGTGTACCGATTAACGTGTATAATTTTGTAAGGCTCATCGCTTATAACACGATTTAAATTAAAATATTTGGAAATCGATGGTTTCTATAACAATTAATGCTAATAATATTGGGAGATCAAAATTGCGTAATAAAGTAGAATGCTTGAAGCAGAAGGCTTTTCTCTCGAAGCATTTGCTTAAGTTGCAAATTTAATGAATGAAGTGAATAATAATTTACTAATGTTGTTGCCAGAAAACAAATTCTGTTCCGGCTGATGATATTAATTGAGATAAATGATTATGAAAATTCTATTGTTAGGATGAAATGTGGTGTATTACGATCACTTGGCTGCTTAAGTCGCAAATTTACCAGGAATTTAAAAGTAAAGAAAATAGCCAAAAAGTTTACCATTTCTTATAAGAGAAAACGTTTCGGAGTCCAGCTCCATCGTCAGTTCAAAACCTAGAACACGGGTACAAACAATTCGTAGCCTCTTAGGAAATTCATAATCAAACAATTCATTTAAACTTGAAGACATTAGAACTAATTTCTAATTTTAGTTCTAATGTCTTCAAGTTTAGGTGAATTGTTTGAATGGTAAACTTTTTGGTTATTTTCTTTACTTTTAAATTCCTGGGAAATGTGGTGTAGAGTGTCCAATAAAAATCAATTCACTTTTTAACGGACATTTAATGGTTAAACTCATGAAAAAAAAAGTTTGGTTAAACTCATGAAATGAAAGCCTAATTTGTAGGGAGGACTTAGCACTCGTGCCAGAGCTATGATTCGAACTATAAGCGTCTGGAAATCTCCGATTAAAACGCTCGATACGTCGCTGTGCTATTTCTTAGAGATGTTCGGAATGCTATGGAAGTAACACGAAGCTGAGTTTACAGGACTCGTCCAAATTATAGCAGCTTTTCTGGAGAAATTTGATCCAGATCTTCTGTTCGATCAATGAAAACGTCAGCAGTTCGGTCGTGTAGTGTTTTGACAAACGGCACAAGCGTGCAACACTGAAGTTATGGCCTTTACAAATTAGGGAATTAGTGCGATGACTAGCATGAAGAGTTGTGGGCCATCACAAGATTCTAAAATAAGAGTTTTTGGAATTTATAAAACGTCTTAATTGTTCATGAGGTCGCGTTGAGCAATTTTATGAGCA